CACTCTGTGTGTGTGTCACTGTGTGTGTCTATCTCTGTGTGTCTATCTGTGTGTGTCTATCTCTGTGTCTAAGTTCTGAGGGATCAGGACAAGCTGTGGCCTTGCTTTGAGTGTCTCACTCTGTGTGTGTGTCTATCTGTGTGTGTCTATCTCTGTGTGTGTGTCTATCTGTGTGTCTCACTGTGTGTCTCTGTGTGTGTCTCACTCTGTGTGTGTCTATCTGTGTGTGTGTCTCACTCTATGTGTGTCTGTGTGTGTGTCTATCTGTGTGTCTCACTGTGTGTTTTTCTGTGTGTGTCTCACTCTGTGTGTGTCTATCTGTGTATGTGTCTATCTGTGTGTCTATCTGTGTGTGTCTATCTGTTTGTGTGTGTGTGTCTCTGTGACTGTGTGTGTGTGTCTCTGTGTGTCTGTGTGTGTGTGTGTCTCACTCTGTGAGTGTCTCACTCTGTGTGTCTATCTCTGTGTGTCTATCTGTGTGTGTCTATCTCTGTGTCTAAGTGCTGAGGGATCAGGACAAGCTGTGGCCTTGCTTTGAGTGTCTCACTCTGTGTGTGTGTCTATCTGTGTGTGTCTATCTCTGTGTGTGTCTCACTCTGTGTGTGTGTCTGTGTGTCTCACTCTGTGTGTGTGTGTGTGTCTGTGTGTGTGTCTCACTCTGTGTGTGTCTCACTCTGTGTGTGTGTCTGTGTGTCTCACTCTGTGTGTGTGTGTCTGTGTGTGTGTCTCACTCTGTGTGTGTCTCACTCTGTGTGTGTGTCTGTGTGTCTCACTCTGTGTGTGTGTGTCTGTGTGTGTGTCTCACTCTGTGTGTGTGTGTCTGTGTGTGTGTCTCACTCTGTGTGTGTCTCACTCTGTGTGTGTGTCTGTGTGTCTCACTCTGTGTGTGTGTGTCTGTGTGTGTGTCTCACTCTGTGTGTGTCTCACTCTGTGTGTGTGTCTATCTGTGTGTGTCTATCTCTGTGTGTGTCTCACTCTGTGTGTGTGTCTGTGTGTCTCACTCTGTGTGTGTGTGTCTGTGTGTGTGTCTCACTCTGTGTATGTGTGTCTCACTCTGTGTGTCTATCTGTGTGTGTGTGTCTGTGTGTCTCACTCTGTTTGTGTGTGTGTCTCACTGTGTGTCTCACTCTGTGTGTCTATCTGTGTGTCTATCTGTGTGTGTCTAAGTGCTAAGGGATCAGGGCAAGTTGTGGCCTTGCTTTGAGTGTCTCACTCTGTGTGTGTGTCTATCTGTGTATGTGTCTCACTCTGTGTGTGTGTGTCTATCTGTGTGTCTCACTCTGTGTGTCTCACTCTGTGTGTCTGTGTCTGTCTGTGTGTGTCTCACTCTGTGTGTGTGTCTCACTCTGTGTCTCACTCTGTGTGTGTGTCTCACTCTGTGTGTGTCTCACAGTGTGTCTATCTGTGTGTGTCTATCTGTGTGTGTCTCACTCTCTGTGTCTCACTCTGTGTGTGTGTCTATCTGTGTGTCTATCTGTGTGTCTCACTCTGTGTATCTATCTGTCTATCTGTGTGTCTATCTGTGTGTCTATCTGTGTGTGTGTCTATCTGTGTGTGTCTATCTCTGTGTCTAAGTGCTGAGGGATCAGGACAAGCTCTGGCCTTGCTTTGAGTGTCTCACTGTGTGTGTCTCACTCTGTGTGTGTCTCACTCTGTGTCTATCTGTGTGTCTATCTGTGTGTGTGTCTAAGTGCTGAGGGATCAGGACAAACTGTGGCCTTGCTTTGAGTGTCTCACTCTGTGTGTGTGTCTCACTCTGTGTGTCTATCTGTGTGTCTATCTGTGTGTGTCTAAGTGCTGAGGGATCAGGACAAGCTCTGGCCTTGCTTTGAGTGTCTCACTGTGTGTGTGTCTATCTGTGTGTGTGTCTATCTATCTGTGTGTCTATGTGTGTGTGTCTATCTCTGTGTCTAAGTGCTGAGGGATCAGGACAAGCTCTGGCCTTGCTTTGAGTGTCTCACTCTGTGTGTGTGTCTCACTCTGTGTGTGTCTATCTGTGTATGTGTCTATCTGTGCGTGTGTCTATCTGTGTGTCTATCTGTGTGTCTATCTGCGTGTGTGTCTAAGTGCTGAGGGATCAGGACAAGCTCTGGCCTTGCTTTGAGTGTCTCACTCTGTGTGTGTGTCTGTGTGTGTCTATCTGTGTGTGTGTCTCACTCTGTGTGTGTCTCACTCTGTGTGTCTCACTCTGTGTGTGTGCGTCTCACTCTGTGTGTGTCTCACTCTGTGTGTCTATCTATCTGTGTGTCTATCTGCGTGTGTGTCTAAGTGCTGAGGGATCAGGACAAGCTCTGGCCTTGCTTTGAGTGTCTCACTCTGTGTGTGTGTGTCTGTGTGTGTGTCTCAATCTGTGTGTGTGTCTCACTGTGTGTCTATCTGTGTGTCTATCTGCGTGTGTGTCTAAGTGCTGAGGGATCAGGACAAGCTCTGGCCTTGCTTTGAGTGTCTCACTCTGTCTGTGTGTGTCTGTGTGTGTCTCACTCTGTGTGTGTCTCACTCTGTGTGTGTGTGTCTGTGTGTGTCTCACTCTGTGTCTATCTGTGTGTGTCTATCTGCGTGTGTGTCTAAGTGCTGAGGGATCAGGACAAGCTCTGGCCTTGCTTTGAGTGTCTCACTCTGTCTGTGTGTGTCTGTGTGTGTGTGTGTCTGTGTGTGTCTGTGTGTGTGTCTATCTGTGTGTGTCTAAGTGCTGAGGGATCAGGACAAGCTCTGGCCTTGCTTTGAGTGTCTCACTCTGTGTGTGTGTCTCTGTGTGTGTGTCTCACTGTGTGTCTATCTGTGTGTGTCTATCTGTGTGTGTGTCTAAGTGCTGAGGGATCAGGACAAGCTCTGGCCTTGCTTTGAGTGTCTCACTCTGTGTGTGTCTGTCTGTGTGTGTCTCAATCTGTGTGTGTGTCTCACTGTGTGTCTATCTGTGTGTGTCTATCTGTGTGTGTGTCTAAGTGCTAAGGGATCAGGACAAGCTCTGGCCTTGCTTTGAGTGTCTCTGTGTGTGTGTCTGTGTGTGTCTGTGTGTGTCTGTGTGTGTCTCACTCTGTGTGTGTGTGTCTGTGTGTGTCTCACTGTGTGTCTATCTGTGTGTGTCTATCTGCGTGTGTGTCTAAGTGCTGAGGGATCAGGACAAGCTCTGGCCTTGCTTTGAGTGTCTCACTCTGTGTGTGTGTGTCTGTGTGTGTCTCACTCTGTGTGTGTCTCACTCTGTGTGTGTGTGTCTGTGTGTGTCTCACTCTGTGTCTATCTGTGTGTGTCTATCTGTGTGTGTGTCTAAGTGCTGAGGGATCAGGACAAACTGTGGCCTTGCTTTGAGTGTCTCACTCTGTGTGTGTGTGTCTGTGTGTGTCTCAATCTGTGTGTGTGTCTCACTGTGTGTCTATCTGTGTGTGTGTCTCACTCTGTGTGTGTCTCACTCTGTGTGTCTCACTCTGTGTGTGTGCGTCTCACTCTGTGTGTGTCTCACTGTGTGTCTGTCTGTGTGTCTATCTGTGTGTCTATCTGTGTGTGTGTCTAAGTGCTGAGGGATCAGGACAAACTGTGGCCTTGCTTTGAGTGTCTCACTCTGTGTGTGTGTGTCTGTGTGTGTCTCAATCTGTGTGTGTGTCTCACTGTGTGTCTATCTGTGTGTGTGTCTCACTCTGTGTGTGTCTCACTCTGTGTGTCTCACTCTGTGTGTGTGCGTCTCACTCTGTGTGTGTCTCACTGTGTGTCTGTCTGTGTGTCTATCTGTGTGTCTATCTGCGTGTGTGTCTAAGTGCTGAGGGATCAGGACAAACTGTGGCCTTGCTTTGAGTGCTCCCGACGGTTCAGCAGCTCTGATCAGCTTCAACAGCATCTCAACTTACACGATGACTTCGTAGGAGTTACACGGTGAGTTAGACACCTCTAGTTAGACACAGCTAGTTAGACACAGCTAGTTAGACATCTCAACTTACACGATGACTTCGTAGGAGTTACACGGTGAGTTAGACACCTCTAGTTAGACACAGCTAGTTAGACAACTCTAGTTAGACATCTCAACTTACACGATGACTTCGTAGGAGTCACACGGTGAGTTAGACACCTCTAGTTAGACACAGCTAGTTAGACACAGCTAGTTAGACACCTCAACTTACACGATGACTTCGTAGGAGTCACACGGTGAGTTAGACAACTCTAGTTAGACAACTCTAGTTAGACAACTCTAGTTAGACAACTCTAGTTAGACACCTCAACTTACACGATGACTTCGTAGGAGTCACACGGTGAGTTAGACAACTCTAGTTAGACACAGCTAGTTAGACACCTCTAGTTAGACACCTCAACTTACACGATGACTTCGTAGGAGTTACACGGTGAGTTAGACACCTCTAGTTAGACAACTCTAGTTAGACACAGCTAGTTAGACAACTCTAGTTAGACACCTCAACTTACACGATGACTTCGTAGGAGTCACACGGTGAGTTAGACAACTCTAGTTAGACACAGCTAGTTAGACACCTCTAGGTAGACACCTCAACTTACACGATGACTTCGTAGGAGTCACACGGTGAGTTAGACAACTCTAGTTAGACAACTCTAGTTAGACACAGCTAGTTAGACAACTCTAGTTAGACACCTCAACTTACACGATGACTTCGTAGGAGTCACACGGTGAGTTAGACACCTCTAGTTAGACAACTCTAGTTAGACACAGCTAGTTAGACACCTCAACTTACACGATGACTTTGTAGGAGTCACACGGTGAGTTAGACACCTCTAGTTAGACAACTCTAGTTAGACACAGCTAGTTAGACACCTCAACTTACACGATGACTTCGTAGGAGTTACACGGTGAGTTAGACACCTCTAGTTAGACACAGCTAGTTAGACAACTCTAGTTAGACACCTCAACTTACACGATGACTTCGTAGGAGTTACACGGTGAGTTAGACACCTCTAGTTAGACACAGCTAGTTAGACAACTCTAGTTAGACACCTCAACTTACACGATGACTTCGTAGGAGTCACACGGTGAGTTAGACACCTCTAGTTAGACAACTCTAGTTAGACACAGCTCTAGTTAGACACCTCAACTTACACGATGACTTCGTAGGAGTTACACGGTGAGTTAGACACCTCTAGTTAGACACAGCTAGTTAGACAACTCTAGTTAGACACCTCAACTTACACGATGACTTCGTAGGAGTCACACGGTGAGTTAGACAACTCTAGTTAGACACAGCTAGTTAGACATCTCAACTTACACGATGACTTCGTAGGAGTCACACGGTGAGTTAGACAACTCTAGTTAGACACAGCTAGTTAGACAACTCTAGTTAGACACCTCAACTTACACGATGACTTCGTAGGAGTTACACGGTGAGTTAGACACCTCTAGTTAGACACAGCTAGTTAGACAACTCTAGTTAGACACCTCAACTTACACGATGACTTCGTAGGAGTTACACGGTGAGTTAGACACCTCTAGTTAGACACAGCTAGTTAGACACCTCAACTTACACGATGACTTCGTAGGAGTCACACGGTGAGTTAGACACCTCTAGTTAGACACAGCTAGTTAGACAACTCTAGTTAGACACCTCAACTTACACGATGACTTCGTAGGAGTCACACGGTGAGTTAGACAACTCTAGTTAGACACAGCTAGTTAGACAACTCTAGTTAGACACCTCAACTTACACGATGACTTCGTAGGAGTCACACGGTGAGTTAGACAACTCTAGTTAGACACAGCTAGTTAGACAACTCTAGTTAGACACCTCAACTTACACGATGACTTCGTAGGAGTCACACGGTGAGTTAGACAACTCTAGTTAGACACCTCTAGTTAGACACAGCTAGTTAGACAACTCTAGTTAGACACCTCAACTTACACGATGACTTCGTAGGAGTCACACGGTGAGTTAGACAACTCTAGTTAGACACAGCTAGTTAGACAACTCTAGTTAGACACCTCAACTTACACGATGACTTCGTAGGAGTCACACGGTGAGTTAGACAACTCTAGTTAGACACAGCTAGTTAGACAACTCTAGTTAGACACCTCAACTTACACGATGACTTCGTAGGAGTCACACGGTGAGTTAGACAACTCTAGTTAGACAACTCTAGTTAGACAACTCTAGTTAGACAACTCTAGTTAGACACCTCAACTTACACGATGACTTCGTAGGAGTCACACGGTGAGTTAGACAACTCTAGTTAGACACAGCTAGTTAGACAACTCTAGTTAGACACCTCAACTTACACGATGACTTCGTAGGAGTCACACGGTGAGTTAGACAACTCTAGTTAGACAACTCTAGTTAGACACAGCTAGTTAGACAACTCTAGTTAGACACCTCAACTTACACGATGACTTCGTAGGAGTCACACGGTGAGTTAGACAACTCTAGTTAGACACAGCTAGTTAGACACCTCTAGTTAGACACCTCAACTTACACGATGACTTCGTAGGAGTCACACGGTGAGTTAGACAACTCTAGTTAGACAACTCTAGTTAGACACAGCTAGTTAGACAACTCTAGTTAGACACCTCAACTTACACGATGACTTCGTAGGAGTTACACGGTGAGTTAGACACCTCTAGTTAGACACAGCTAGTTAGACACAGCTAGTTAGACACCTCAACTTACACGATGACTTTGTAGGAGTCACACGGTGAGTTAGACACCTCTAGTTAGACACCTCTAGTTAGACACAGCTAGTTAGACACCTCAACTTACACGATGACTTCGTAGGAGTTACACGGTGAGTTAGACACCTCTAGTTAGACACAGCTAGTTAGACAACTCTAGTTAGACACCTCAACTTACACGATGACTTCGTAGGAGTTACACGGTGAGTTAGACACCTCTAGTTAGACACAGCTAGTTAGACAACTCTAGTTAGACACCTCAACTTACACGATGACTTCGTAGGAGTTACACGGTGAGTTAGACACCTCTAGTTAGACAACTCTAGTTAGACACAGCTCTAGTTAGACACCTCAACTTACACGATGACTTCGTAGGAGTTACACGGTGAGTTAGACAACTCTAGTTAGACACAGCTAGTTAGACAACTCTAGTTAGACACCTCAACTTACACGATGACTTCGTAGGAGTCACACGGTGAGTTAGACAACTCTAGTTAGACACAGCTAGTTAGACATCTCAACTTACACGATGACTTCGTAGGAGTCACACGGTGAGTTAGACAACTCTAGTTAGACACAGCTAGTTAGACAACTCTAGTTAGACACCTCAACTTACACGATGACTTCGTAGGAGTTACACGGTGAGTTAGACACCTCTAGTTAGACACAGCTAGTTAGACAACTCTAGTTAGACACCTCAACTTACACGATGACTTCGTAGGAGTCACACGGTGAGTTAGACAACTCTAGTTAGACACAGCTAGTTAGACATCTCAACTTACACGATGACTTCGTAGGAGTCACACGGTGAGTTAGACAACTCTAGTTAGACACAGCTAGTTAGACAACTCTAGTTAGACACCTCAACTTACACGATGACTTCGTAGGAGTTACACGGTGAGTTAGACAACTCTAGTTAGACACAGCTAGTTAGACAACTCTAGTTAGACACCTCAACTTACACGATGACTTCGTAGGAGTTACACGGTGAGTTAGACAACTCTAGTTAGACACAGCTAGTTAGACAACTCTAGTTAGACACCTCAACTTACACGATGACTTCGTAGGAGTCACACGGTGAGTTAGACAACTCTAGTTAGACACCTCTAGTTAGACACAGCTAGTTAGACAACTCTAGTTAGACACCTCAACTTACACGATGACTTCGTAGGAGTCACACGGTGAGTTAGACAACTCTAGTTAGACAACTCTAGTTAGACACAGCTAGTTAGACACAGCTAGTTAGACACCTCAACTTACACGATGACTTCGTAGGAGTCACACGGTGAGTTAGACAACTCTAGTTAGACACAGCTAGTTAGACAACTCTAGTTAGACACCTCAACTTACACGATGACTTCGTAGGAGTCACACGGTGAGTTAGACAACTCTAGTTAGACACCTCTAGTTAGACACAGCTAGTTAGACAACTCTAGTTAGACACCTCAACTTACACGATGACTTCGTAGGAGTCACACGGTGAGTTAGACAACTCTAGTTAGACAACTCTAGTTAGACACAGCTAGTTAGACACAGCTAGTTAGACACCTCAACTTACACGATGACTTCGTAGGAGTCACACGGTGAGTTAGACAACTCTAGTTAGACACAGCTAGTTAGACACAGCTAGTTAGACACCTCAACTTACACGATGACTTCGTAGGAGTCACACGGTGAGTTAGACAACTCTAGTTAGACAACTCTAGTTAGACACCTCAACTTACACGATGACTTTGTAGGAGTCACACGGTGAGTTAGACAACTCTAGTTAGACAACTCTAGTTAGACACAGCTAGTTAGACACCTCAACTTACACGATGACTTTGTAGGAGTCACACGGTGAGTTAGACAACTCTAGTTAGACAACTCTAGTTAGACACAGCTAGTTAGACACCTCAACTTACACGATGACTTCGTAGGAGTCACACGGTGAGTTAGACACCTCTAGTTAGACACAGCTAGTTAGACAACTCTAGTTAGACACCTCAACTTACACGATGACTTCGTAGGAGTTACACGGTGAGTTAGACACCTCTAGTTAGACACAGCTAGTTAGACAACTCTAGTTAGACACAGCTAGTTAGACACCTCAACTTACACGATGACTTCGTAGGAGTCACACGGTGAGTTAGACAACTCTAGTTAGACAACTCTAGTTAGACAACTCTAGTTAGACACCTCAACTTACACGATGACTTCGTAGGAGTCACACGGTGAGTTAGACAACTCTAGTTAGACACAGCTAGTTAGACATCTCAACTTACACGATGACTTCGTAGGAGTCACACGGTGAGTTAGACAACTCTAGTTAGACACAGCTAGTTAGACACAGCTAGTTAGACATCTCAACTTACACGATGACTTCGTAGGAGTCACACGGTGAGTTAG